AAGGAAGATAACCACTTTGCAACCCACCTCCAGTAAAGTCACGTGTTGTTATTAATACACCGTCCTTCTGTGCTGGGCTCTTGCTTCTGTGTCCCCCGAGTGTGAAATGATGGGGAGATCTGCAAACAGACACATACAGCGAAATTAAAATAAGTTCAGATGGAAAAATCAGTCTTGTTTTGACTGATGTATGAGTAATGTGGTTCAGTCCAACAGAAGTGCTCAGAAGCAGAAAAACTGAATCCTCTTTTATACACGTTACTTATATAATAATAATAAGCGTCACCTCCAGTAAATGTTTTGCAGTTTGGACTTCAGTATCGATGCTCCGTGTTTCTCATATTTTCATTGTACTGTGGGCAAAATTTCTCATTTATGCATTTAATAATCTGCCACTGCCACGTTTAAAGTTTCCAAGTGAAACTTATTATAAGAAGTCATCCCCAGTTTAGTTTTTCAAAAGTGTTTTAATTACTGATTATTTATTTGATTATTGATATATTGAGATGCATCATGTTAAGACGCTGATGAGCGCATCACTAAACTCTTCTTATTCCTTGTTGTTTGGCAGCTCGTGGACTCAGGATTGTGCTGTTTGGGAAAAACGAGGAAGAAAAGACGACACTTGGAAACTTCATCACAAAGAAAAATTCTTTTCAGTTCAGAAACATTTCTCCAGCTAAACACTGTGAAGATGCTGGTGGAGCGTGGAAAGAAAAACCAGTAACAGTGGTGAAAACTCCCGACATGTTCAGTCTGTCTGTGCAGGGAGTGAGAGAGGAGATGAAGAGCTGTGTGAGTCTCTGTCCTCCTGGACCAAACGTTCTGCTGCTGTTGGTCAAACCTTCTGATTTCACTGAGGAGAACAGACAGACTCTGAAGTTCATCCTGAGTTTGTTTGGAGAAGATTCCTTTAAACACTCGATGATCATCAGCACGTACAGACATCAGTGGAAAGAAACAAGCGCCTCTGTGAACAAGCTCCTTCAGGACTGTGATGGAAGACACTACAACATGTTTACCAATGAGCACAAAGTGTTAATGGAGAAGATTGAAGACATGCTGCAAGAAAACAAAGAAAGCTTCCTCATCCTCACTGCAGAGAAGACAAAGCAAGAAAAACAAGAGGACTGGGAGAGGAAAGAAAAAGAGTGGCAGGAAAATCAGTCCAGGGAAATTGAAAGAATACGTCAGGAGGAGGAAGAAAAGCAGAAAAAGCTCCAAGAAGAGTTTAAGCAGGAAAGAGAAAAATATGAAATAACAAGAAAAGAAAATCAAATCATTTCAAAACTGGTGCAACAGCATGAAGAAGAAATGCAGCAGAAAGAGGAAGCACACAGAAAAGAGTTTAACCTGTTACAGAAAAGCTGGAACCAGAAAGAAAAGGAACTAAAAGAAGAACTGATGAGAACACAACTGCAACAAGGAATTAATGAAAATAAAAAACAGATAGCAGCCGTAGATACAGTGGTGAAGAAGAGCATGAGGGAGGAAGTTTCCAGTGAGGAAACATCGGTTTCACTGCCAGTTCCTCGTGTCAAACATTGTGGTAAGTACAGCTTTTTTTAGCTGGTACTTTTAAAACGTTTACATAAGTTTGACATTCTTGTTTGAAAGTCTTGAGTTTTGATTTCTTCTTCATACGAGTCACCTGGATCACACTTAGTCTGGCCCCTCAGCCTGAACCAGTTTAAGGCTGTGGCTGCCAGCTTCTCTCTAACCTAAACATGAGTAAATAAAAAGTCAGCTGATCTGAATAATCATTGAGACTGAACATGAGGAACATGCAGGTTTGTGGAATTCAAGAAATCAAAGCTCAAATGCAAAACTGAGGGGCACGGTCATTAACAGTTCACACTGTGTAATGAAATGTAAAAAAATGATGTATGTATGAAGGTTATTAACCAGTTTAAGTTTTCAATATGTTGCAGCACGTGAACTCAGGATAATGCTGTTTGGAAAAAGTAATGACAAGAAATCAGCCCTGGAAAAGCTCCTCGTTGGGAAAAAAGAGTCTAAAGGTTTTGGAGGAAAGCAATCTGGTGCTGCCTCTGGAGAGAGGAACAGGAAACCTCCCACAGTTGTAAAAACTCCCAACATCTTCAGTCTGCCTGTGAATGAGCTGTTTAAAGAGATGAAGAGCTGTGTGAGTCTCTGTCCTCCTGGACCAAACGTGCTGCTGCTGTTGGTCAAACCTTCTGATTTCACTGAGGAGAACAGACAGACTCTGAATTTGGTCCTGAGCTTGTTTGGTCAAGATGCTTTTAATCACTCCATCGTCATCCGAACACATAACGAGGAAGGGAATAACTCAGTGGATAAACTCATTGAAGAATCCAAACAAAGGCAGCACTTCGTTAATTTTGACAGGAAAGACTCCTTCTCAGATTCCTCAGAGTTGATGGAAGAAATGAATGAGATAGTGAGTAAAAACTGGGGAAAATATCTAATGTTAAAAGAAGAGGCTAAACCCAACCTGAAGTCCAGTCTGAACCTGGTTCTGTGTGGGAGGAGAGGAGCAGGGAAGACGTCAGCAGCCAAGGCCATTTTAGGTCAGACTGAGCTTCATTCAGCCTCCAACTCATCAGAGTGTGTTAAACATCAGGGAGAGGTGTGTGGACGTTGGGTTTCCCTGGTGGAGCTGCCTGCCTTGTATGGAAAACCTCAGGAGGCAGTGATGGAGGAATCACTCAGGTGTATCTCCCTCTGTGATCCTGAGGGTGTCCATGCCTTCATCCTGGTCCTACCTGTGGCTCCCCTCACTGATGAAGACAAGGGAGAGTTAGAGACCATCCAGGACACATTCAGCTCTCGAGTCAATGACTTCACCATGATTCTGTTCACTGTGGACTCAGATCCTACAGATCCAGCTGTTGGTAACTTTGTAAGACAAGACAAAGACATCCAGAAGCTCTGTCAGACTTACAGAGGACGATATGTTGTTCTCAACATTAAGAACAAACAGCAGATTACAAAGATGTTTGAGGTTGTGGACAAAATTAGTGAGGCCACAAACAAACCACACTGTTATACAAAGACAACATTTCTACATGCACAGATGGACAAAGTCTTACAACAAGATAAATCCATACAGATGCAACATGATGAACTTGAGAAGCTGAAGACGAACATGATGACTTGTAAGTACTTCAGATTTTAATATTGTTCTGTGTTCAGTGACCCAAAGAGTTTTAATCCAGCAGTATACAAGTGTTAACTCTGATTGTTTTCATGTTTTAGGTGATGAAGGTGGAGAACAGGACTCAGACTGTCTCAGGATTGTGCTGCTTGGGAAGACCGGCTGTGGAAAGAGCTCTACAGGAAACACCATTTTAGGAAGAGACGAGTTTACAGCTAAATCAGGCCAAATATATGTCACACATTGTTGTAAGAAGGCAGAGGGTGAGGTGGACGGTCGTCCTGTTGTTGTGGTCGACACTCCTGGTCTGTTTGACACAAGTTTGTCCAATGAAGAAGTTCAAGAAGAGCTGGTGAAATGTATCAGCCAGCTGGCTCCAGGACCACATGTCTTCTTGGTGGTGATAGGGGTTGGTAGATTCACAGCAGAGGAGAGAGAAACGATCAGGCTCACTAAAAGATTCTTTGGGAAGAACTCAGAAAAGTTCACCATCGTTCTTTTCACCAGAGGAGACGATCTGGAGCGTCAGGGAGAGTCTATTGATGATTACATCAAGAACAAATGTCATGATTCCTTTAAGAAGCTGATCTCTGACTGTGGAGGAAGATACCATGTGTTCAATAACTCTGACAAGCAAAACCGCACACAAGTCAGTGAGCTGATAGCAAAGATTGACACCATGATGAAGGACAATGGAGGAAACTTCTACACCAACGAGATGCTGCAAGAGGCTGAAGCAGCAATAAAGAAGGAAATGCTGAGGATCCTGAAGGAGAAGGAAGAAGAGATGCAGATGGAAAAGGAAGAGATTGAAAGAAAACATGAGCAAGAAATGAAAGCAATGAAAAGAAGAATGGCAGAAGAGAGAGAAAAAATAGAAAAGGAGAGAAAACAGAAAGCTGAAGAACTCGAGGAAATGATGAACAAAATTAAGGAAGAACAAGAGAAGAAGAAAAAAGAAGAAGAAATGAGAGAAAAGGAGGAAAAGAACACTGGAGAAGAAAGATATCGACAACAATTAACAATTCAAGAAGAACTTGAAAAGTTGGACAGACAAATTCAGTTGGAAAAAGAGGCAAAGGAAAGTGTCGACAGACAGCTGGAAGAGACCAGAGAAGAGATGCAACGAAAACAAGAAGCCTGGGAGAAAGAACAAAGAGAAGAGCGAGAGAAACAAAGACAAGAAGATGAAAAGAGACGACAGGAGGAGGAAGAAAGAATCGACAAACTGCTGGAAAGTTACAAACAAGAAAAAATAAAATACGAAAACAACAAATTACAAGAGGAACAAATAAGAAGAGAAATGGAAATAACAGAGAACAATCATCAGAAAACACTGGAGGACCTAAAGAAGAGCTATGAAAGAAAAGCCAGACAGAAAGCAGAAGAGTTCAACGAATCCCAAAAGAAACACATGGATGAATTAAATGCTCAGCGGGAAAAACACGTGAAGGAAATGAACGACAAGGAAGAACGTCAAAAACAATTAAGTGAACTGATTCAAAAAATCTTAAATGAGGAGGCCAATGACACATCAGCCTGCAGCATTTTGTGACGAGAAATGAATGATTTCAGTTGTTTTTCTTTCATTGTACTGGGAAAAAAATGTTAAAGAAGCACCGATTTGTTGTTCTGCATGTTTTACGTGTTTGGGATTTCCTCACAACAGCAAATAATTCTGGTGTGTCTAACCTGCCTTAAATGTTTTATCATAAAGAAAGACGACACACATTTGGTGATCAGGTACCTTTATTCTTGTCTTTTTTTGAAGTTAAGGATCAAAGAGTTTTTCCTGGGCTGAGCTCTTTAAGTACCAGGATGTTCATTTAACCTGGGTCATGAAGGTCTCTTCATTTATTGTGTTTATCTCCCAAAGCGGGAAAATTGCAGCAGGTCCGAGTTGTTGAACACATCAAACATGTAACCGTCAGTTTATGGTCAGAAACACCAGAACGGTTTAAACTCAGTAAAACAAAATGACCAAAATCTTAAAGTGAAAATAACTTTTTGAAGCAGAATTTGCACGTGCTCACTGTTTCTTCTGCTCTACGATTGGCTCGTTCTTGTTTTGATCCTAGTGGATAAACCTTGGTGAGTTGGCGGTGTCTCGAAAGCTGCTTTTCTAAATTAAAGCTGATATTTTTTGTACTGATTTGAATCGACCCCTGTGCACATGCTTTTTAGGTAATGCTGATTTTCTTTAAGATGACATAATAAAATACGGACAAATGAAACAGTTGTCGCCATTTTTGGGCAACAACCCAGAAATGTTTGAACAAAGAGCCTTCAGAAACCCCAGAATCAATGAAAAGAGTTCAGGACATTTCTGAAACGATCGACTGATCACCAAGAGTCCAAACTGTAACTTTAAGGCTGCACTACACAAATATCCCACTGTGACATCGTCTCTGCATGAACGAGCGCTGGACTCCTCAAACAGAAGCGCTTCTCGGTGCTGGGCAGTGACAAGACCCACCAGAAGATGTCAGACACTCAGCCAGTCATGAAGTCCGTTGGTTCGGTCAGACACGTTCACACCAGCGTCCTGGTGGAGGTCATTTTGCTCTGGCTGTGCTCAGCATGTTCCTCTTTGCACCAAGGAGCACTTACTGGTCCCACCGATGATTATAGTCCTGTCCAGGGCCCT